AAAATTTTGAACCTTTGTTGAGGAGGAGTTGAATGATTTATCCCATCTTTACAACAGATCTTGTGTTAGTGGAATTAATAGGATGTGTGAAATATAAAGAGAAGCTGATGCTTATTTCGGGTTTTATGAGCTTCATGGATATTCAAAAATGTGACCCTTTATAGGGGAGGTACCAGAAGGATTGGTCCGATATCTATCATCTTTATAACAGATCTTGTGTTGATGGAAATATTCAGATCTGCTAAGTCTAAATGGAATCGGATGTTAATTTTGCGTTTCATGAGCTTAACGGATATTCAAAATCCCGACCTTTTGTAGGGGAGGTACCAGAGGGAGTGGACCGATATATTCCATTTTAACACCAGACCTTTAGTTAATAAAAATAGAAGGATGAGTGAAATTGTACATCATATTTTTTAAGTGTTATAATTATTCTAAATTTTGACACTTTGTGGGAGAAGTACTTGATGGATTGGACCGTTATTATCCGTTTTGGGACCTGATCGAGAACAGACACAAATATTAGGATTTGCAAAATTAGAGCAAAACTAGATTATTGCTTCACTTTCTGTGCAGAAAATATTTTTATACCCTCCACCATAGTATGGAGGGTATATTAAGTTTGTCATTCCGTCTGTGGAAATAACTCTAGCTTTCGAACGAAATGAAGTAGGTTAATAAAATTTTACTTAAATGTGTACTTTTGGTATAGAAAAAGGGTCATGTGGGTCCACGTCTTCGTATAGACTTCATATAACGGTACCTCCCAATATCCGGTATTTTGATGATTTTAGCGACATTATTTACCGGAATTGTTTCAAAATTGGTATTTAAAGTTCGTAATGGATGCTACATCCTACGACAGAAAATGAGCCATGTAGGTCCACGTCTTCGTATAGAACCCATATAACGGTACCCCCGATATTCGGTATTTTGATGATTTTAGAGACATTATTTACCGGAAATATTTCAAATTTAGAATTTGAAGTTCGTAATGAATACTACAGCCTATGACAGAAAATTGTCTGTGCAGGTCCACGTCTTCGTATAGTCCCCATATAACGGTGCCCCCCGATTTTCGGTAATTTGATGATTTTAGCGGCATTATTTACCGGAACTATTTCAACTAGTATTTGAATTTCACAATGAATACTACAGCCTATGAGAGAAAATTGTCTGTGTAGGTCCACGTCTTCGTATAGTCCCCATATAACGGTACCCCCCGATTTTCGGTAATTTGGTGATTTTAGCGGCATTATTTACCGGAACTATTTCAACTAGTATTTGAATTTCACAATGAATACTACAGCCTATGACAGAAAATTGTCTGTGTAGGTCCACGTCTTCGTATAGCCCCCATATAACGGTACCCCCGATATTCGGTATTTTGATGATTTTAGCGACATTATTTACCGGAATTGTTTCAAAATTGGTATTTAAAGTTCGTAATGGATGCTACATCCTACGACAGAAAATGAGCCATGTAGGTCCACGTCTTCGTATAGAACCCATATAACGGTACCCCCGATATTCGGTATTTTGATGATTTTAGAGACATTATTTACCGGAAATATTTCAAATTTAGAATTTGAAGTTCGTAATGAATACTACAGCCTATGACAGAAAATTGTCTGTGCAGGTCCGCGTCTTCGTATAGCCCCCATATAACGGTACCCCCCGATATTCGGTATATTTATGACTTTAGCGACATTATTTACCGAAATTATTTCAAATTTTGTATTTAAAATTCGTAATGGCTACTACAGCCTATGACAGAAAATTGTCTGTGCAGGTCCACGTTTTATAACCCCCATGGTACCTCCCTATATTCGGTATTTTGATGATTTTAGCTACATTATAAACAGGTTTTTTTTCAAGTTTCGCATTTGAATATTGTAATAGCTTGTGACAAAAGTTGCCTATGCAGGTCCACGTCGTCGTATGGACACTAATATACGGCTACATTCGGTATTTTTAAGATTTTAACAGAATTTCTAAGAGATTTTATTTTTTTTTAATTGTTAAATTTGTACCAAATGGTGGAGGGTATTCAAAGTTCGGCCCGGCCGAACTTACAGCTTTTTTACTTGTTTATTGAAAATATTGATTTTTTGTGGGGGAGGCACCAGAAGGAGTGGACCGATGTACTCCATCATAACACCAGACCTTGCGCTAATAAAATGATTGGGATGCGTGAAATTTGAAGACAATCGGACTCTTAGATCACATTTTATAAGAGTTGTTATATGAATAAGTGATTTCACCATTGCTTTTCAATCACTTAATTCGGAGTCTGGAAGTTTCAGTCTTTCCTTGTACTTTGACTGCGTCCAATACATTTTGTAATAATAACTATTTAATTTTTCCCATACTATGGATGGTATATTAAGTTCGTCATTGTAACTCCTCAAGATCAGAATTTCAGACCACAACGAATATATATATTCAGCATGGAAATCAATGGTACAACCAGTTCAGATTATTTTTGTGGCTTAGGTTTTTTTTTTATACATCGCCAGTATGTGCTCCCAGCGGACAGAAAACATCATCAGTGTTTGGATCCTCTCTATTGTTGCTACGTAACGCCGTGGTAACTCGTTCATACATATTCGCGCAAAAACCAGATTTAAGCACTAATTAAATGTAACTGCTAAATATTCAGTCTGTTGGCGGTGTATTTGTGTTAAGAGCACTTAACATCTCGTTAATGCTCTTAAAATATTTCCGGCGCATACAAATATAAAGCATTTTTAAAATTGTCTGGATTATGGTATGTCTTATTTTGATAATTAATATGTATGTATATTTTTTTAATTTTACTGATGTGCGTGTGCTTTTTATTAAATATAGAGGCGTGTGTGCCTAAGGACTATGCTTTAAGGAATAACTTCACCGTCCCTGTACGGTTTGAGAAAATGTCGTTTTTATTTCCATAACTGGTAAGAATGACTTCGCCATGGAAAACACTGGCGATTATAGGAGGAATTCCATAAAAGCTAAACTAAAGCCTGGACTGGTGTTTACGAGTAAATTGAAGGGATTATTTCAGCTTTATGTTTCACAAAATATTGTCAAGGGACACAAACCCACATAGTTTATACTCCCAGATGGAAAATATTTCGGACATTGTAGTTACATTCTTCAACAAGTTTCTATGTTATTTTGTATTTTAGGCTCTGATGGCAAAATTATAAAAATACCGAATATTTAAAGTGTGACGAAAATCGTACAAATATTGAATTTCGGGAGGTACAGAAAAAGTGTATCTATAAATACAAGGTTCTGCCATAGTAGACATATCCTATTACGAACTTTAAAACCCGAATTTCAAACTATTCCGTAAGAAAGTGTGGCTAAAATCGTCAAAATATCCAATATAGGGAGGTACGTTATATGGAACTTATAGTAAAATGTGAGCATATATAGGCAATATTCTGCCACAGGAGGTTATTATGAAGTCTTAATACCGAATTTTTATTTTATTCCGTTAGAAAGTATGGCTAAAATCGTCAAAATACCGAATATGGGGAAGTACAATTATGTAGGGGCTGTGCGAAAACGTTAACCGATATTGCTAATCTTCATGAGCATATTGTATGTGGAGAGTGTCAACGTTAACATGTAAAACAACGAACTTTAAAAACGTGTCTTATATCGTCAAACTGGAAAAAATTAGGGTGAATAATTTCGTTAATATCAGAATATACAGAATATAGGGTGATGCCGTTATTTGTGGGCTATATTGAGAAGTGGACTTACATAGACAATTTTCCGTCATAGGTTGTAGTTCCCATTACGAGAAAAAAACACGGCTCAAGGGAAATACGTTATATAGGGGCTTTATGAAGACATGGTCCGGCATAAGTCATTTTTTGTCATAGGCTGTATTACCCATTGTGAACTTTAAATACGAAATTTGAAACAATTCCGGTAAAAATAATTTTTGTCATAGGCCACAACAATATTCCAATACGAAACTTTAAACAAATCCGGTGAATAGTGTCCCAAAAACACTAAAATACCGAATGTCGGGAGCTATCGTTATACGGTGGCTATACGAAGACAGGAAATAATTCCGGTGTATAATTCCGTTAATATCAGAATATACAGAATATAGGGTGGTGCCGTTATATGTGGGCTATATTGAGAAGTGGACTTGCATACACAATTTTCCATCATAGGTTGTAGTTCCCATTACGAGATTCAAGTACGAAATTTTAAACAATTCGGGTGAATAATGTTCTTAAAATCATCAAAATACGGGCTATACGAAGATGCGTACCTGCATATGCAAATTTTTGACAAAGGCTGTAGTACCCATAATGAACTTTTAATGCGAAGTTTATAGCAATTCCGGTAAAAAATGTCGCTAAAATTTTCAAAATAACGAATATCGTGGGTACCGTTATATGGGGGCTATACAATATCGCGGACCTATATAGACAATTCTCTTCCAGGAGGTAAAGTACTCAGAAGGAACTCCTATCAGACATTTCTATGGAAAAATTGGGCTACAATCGTCAAAATGCCGAATATCAGGGGGTATCGTTATATTGGGGCTGTACGACATCGTGGACCGATATTCGAACTTGACCTGCCTACAGACAAAAGACTTATATGTAAGTTTTTTTTGCAAGATTTTAACTTCCTATCTTAATTTTAACTTCCTATCTCAAATGCAAATGCTTCTATGAGAATGCTTAAGAATGTATTGTTTTTATTCTCCGTTCTTGAGAACAAGTTGGAGTTCTCCTGAAATTCCTTCATTGCATCCCTCTTTTGGAAATATTTGTTGACGATACTTCGCAGAAACATTTGTTCCCTTGGGGATTCATTGCTCATTGTTGATAAAAAAACATTATGTATTTTTAACTTGATGGTTGTGTGACTTTTTCCGCTAATATATTGTTGCATAAAGTGACGTATTATAGTTAATTCTTAGCAAATATGCCACATTGTATTTTTTATTAAAAAAAATGTTAGATTGGAAATCAACTTACCATATCAATTAAATCAATTTTGCTTGTATCTGTTAAATCAGACCAATAACCATGATCTAGCCATTGACGAACCAACTCCAGGGGAGGTTGTGAACCGTACGTGTCCTTACTTGGCATAGATACATCGTCACAAAATACAATACACTGAAAATAACAAAGTATTAGTAAAAGCTGCGTTTACATCCCATATTTGCTCCTTTTACCTTTTTTCCAACTGGTGGACCATAAACACCTTTACGTCTTCGGTCTAATTTCGCCATGACCGTATCTTGAACCAACTGTGATGATGTTCGTGCCGAAAAGTTAATCAGATTTATCATATTCGATTGTTTGGGCAAGGTCATTAAGTTACTCGTTAAAATGGCACTTTTCCCGGTACCGGTGGGCCCGATAACAAGCATGGGATATGACAAATTCAAGCAAAACTCTTGCCAGTATGTTAAATAGCCTGATTCGTTAGTCGGAACTATTAGTTCACTGATTTGAGCACCTTCTGGAAATAATGAAATAGCTGATGTGGGGTCGTCGCCAGACTTTTGCCATGTCCACCAGTTTTCTTGTTCATCGAAGCGGTAATCCATTAGGGTGAGTTTTTCGGGGAACATTTGCCCGCGATTTAGGGAAAAATATTTGGGACGGGGATAGGCTTCATTGGCACCGTAGAGCACTTTACGTATCATGCTATCGAATTGTTTTATGCCTTTCACTATAAATGTAACAGAAAACCAGTAAGGAAAAGTCAAGAGTACCTATATGATACCCTACACCAATATGCATACTTAGTAGAGCTCCCGTAACAAAAGAATTTATTTGAAGTAGATCATACCGCCTATCAAAATTTACCTCTAGAGCAGTTATAGTTTGGTTTCAGAGGGAAATAAAATATGGAGGCATATCCAATTCTGAATCGATTTTCACTAAATTTGACAGAGACATTTTTGTCTTTTATACGAAACTACATTCCTGTAGAGTGCGTAATATCATTTCGAGAAGGATTACAGGGTTGCCCCTGTAATCGACGTTTTTGGCGTTTTTGGGATGTTCTTGGGGACCTCTCAACACTGGCTCGATCGCCTTGGTCGACTTTTATATGGCCTCTTCGGATTAGAAAGAGTCTTACCAGTCGAAAAATTTTCGTATAAACGCTTAATGGTGTTCTTAGAAGGCGCTGTGACATCTCTGTCAAAAGTTATGGCGTTGCCAGATGGGTCCGTCGAATATGGACAACCCTGTACATTAAAAAAGTATATATCGGAGCCGAGTTCCACAGAATGGAAACCAACGTCCCGAAATTCACTCCATTTGGGCTGATATTAGCCATTATTTGCGCAATAATTTGGGAGCTATATCCAAATCATATCCAGTCTCGCTAAAATCTATCTATAAGATGTCTCGTACGAAATGTCATTGTTGTCGAGTGCATAATACAAATGTGATGAAACATATATATGGGAGCTATAGCTATGTCTGAACCGATTTTCACAAAAAACTGAATCGCCTATTTTAGGCTAAATTCGGTTGGATGTGCCAAAATTCAGAACATTTGGACTGATATTGGCCATTTGGTGCACAATTAACTAGAAATCGGATAAAGATATATATGGGAGCTACATCTAAATTTGAACCAATTCTCATCATTTTCAATAGGGTTCGTCCTTTGGCCAAACAAATATTGTTTGCAAATTTCATCTCAATCGGACTATAAATGCGACCTGCATTTTCTTCACAAAAATACATGGACAGACGGACGGACGGATGGACTGACATGCATAAATCGACTCCGAATATGATTCTATAAAGATCTTCAAAAGAAACTATGGGCCTACTTTGCTTCCTTCTCTATGTTACAAACAAATGCACAAAGGCACAATACCCATACCACTATGTGGTGTAGGATGTAAAAATGAGACACTCATAAGGTTTAAAGGGCTGTGATTTTGAATAAACTAAAACTAATGAAAATCACTATAAACATAAAGGAACATGATTCGCAGAGATTTTTGTATCTAAATTCTATTTTTTACAAAATAAATAATACAAGAAGATACCTTGTAAACTTGATCCATATGCCCAGGCAAAGCAGAACAGAAACATTTGTTGGAACCAGACCTGATTAAATGTTTTGTGTTTATCTAGAAAATGGTAGAGGAATCGAGAAAACATCTGAAACAAATACACACATATTTAGAAATTTCTTAAAATTTGCATTTATCAACGAAACCAACCTGGTACTGATATATCGCCGAAGTCTCAAGCATTTTCTTACAATCCATTAGAATATCTAAAGCAGCTGGTACTAACCATTCAACCATTTCCTCAAACAGTGCCATATAAATGTCGTTGAGACCGACATTTTCCGACAGAACATTGAGGAAACTTTTGTGCAAAGCCCGCCAACCCAATTGTGCCGGCTCCATGTATATCATGCCACAACGCGATACAGTTGCGGGTGATGCTTGCTCCAAGTCAGCCGGTTCAAACATCATATTCATTAATTTAGTCATTGTAATTATTTCTCCAGACATCAAACACAATTTCTTATTGTCATCCAAAACGGTATTTAGATTTTCAATCCATACAGCATCCACTGGACCATCGAAGAATATCCAATAGCGTTCATTCGGAGAACCTGTGGCGAATTCACGAAAGGTTTTCGCCAAAACACCATCATACCACTCATGTGAAACAGGGTCAAAACGTCCATACAACTGACCCATAGTTATGGCTTTTGGATTAATAATGCGATAATTGGTTGGATATTCCCGCAAAGTGGCTGTCTCATCAGTTGACAGACAACGTAAACAGTGGGCCAGAACCTTAGAAATAGTAGCGAATCTATGGAAATCGAACTTTATAAAAGTAGTAAAGTCTTACCTGCCATGCGGTGGTCTTACCACCCATTGGACCGCCCACTACCATTAGTCCATGTCTCACCAATAACATTTCATAGATTTGTAAAATTTTCTCCACAAACCAAGGTGTTGCTTGCAAATTTCTTTCAGTAAGGGTCTTCTCTAGCCATTTCATAAGATCGCCACGGGAAGGCTTGCATGAATAAAAAAATAAGTGGTGGTTAGTGCCGATGAGAACCATAGTTAGAAAGAAAACAAACAAAACAAAAATATCTTAACATTTGCTAGACTTTAAGGAAAATAATAAATAAGCAAAAATCTTAGTTTATGGTAAAGACAAATTTAACAGAGCATACACCCTTGTAAAAATGTATTTTTATAAACATTTTAAAAAGGAATCGGAAAACATTTTCATCTCCCTTTCAAAAATACCATTTTTTAAAACATTTTAAGAAAATTGAATTTTTTAGCGTAAAAGGAAACGTGGAACTTGTTCATCTGGCCACCTCAATTTTAAATGGACGCTTTCGAGGAAATGTTTTGGCTAAAATGTAAGCTGGCATCTTGCCGGAACGAAAGTTCGCAAAAAATACAGTTTTTAATAAACGTATCTAGATGCAAATGTGTTTCACTTTAATCTGCTAATAGCAGTGAAATCTGTTGAAGAATCCAGTTAAAGTTTAAAATATAGATACCGAACCGTTAATACGGGTCATACAAAACATACACAATTTTCAACTACAAGGATTGTTTTTTATTTCTACTTGTAACAAGTAAAAAAGCTGTAAGTTCGGCCGGGCCAAACTTTGAATACCCTCCACCATTTGGTACAAATTTAACAATTTTCAAAAAAAAAAAAAAAATAAATAAATAAAATCCCTTAAAAATCTGTTAAAATCTTGAAAATACCTAATGTAGCCGTATATTAGAGTCTATACGACGATGTGGACCTGCATAGGCAACTTTTAAATGCGAAACTTGAAAAAAATCTGTTTATAATGCACAGGCAATTTTCTGTCATAGGCTGTAATATCGAACTTCACGAACTTCAAATGCGAAATTTGAAACAATTCCGGTAAATAATGTCGCTAAAATCATCAAAATACCGAATATCGGGGGGTACCGTTATATGGGGGCTATATGAAGAAGTGGACCTGCACAGACAATGTTACGTCATAGGCTGTAGTATTCATTACGAACTTCAAATGCGAAATTTGAAACAATTCAGGTAAATAATGTCGCTAAAATCATGAAAATACCGAAGATCGGGGCTATACGAAGGACCTGCACAGACAACTTTCTGTGATAGGCTGTATCATCCATTATGAACTTCAAATGCAAAATGTGAAACAATTCCGGTAAATAATGCCGCTAAAATCATCAAAATACCGAATATCGAGAGGTACCGTTATATGGGGGCTATACGAAGACGTGGACCTATATGGCTCATTTTTTTGTCTTAGGATTTAGTATTCATTACGAACGTCAAATACTAAAACTGAAACAATTCCGGTAAATAATGTCGCGAAAATGATCAAAATACCGAATATCGGGGGGTACCGTTATATGGGGGCTATACGAAGACGTGGACCTACATGGCCCATTTTCTATTTTGTTCTGTAGTATCTTTTAAAAACGTCAAATACTAAATTTGAAACAATTCCGGTAAATAATGTCGCTAAAATCATCAAAATACCGAATATCGGGAGGTACCTTTATATGGAGGCTATACGAAGACGTGGACCTACATGGCCCATTTTCTGTCTTAAGCCGTAGCATCTATTACGAACTTAAAATATTAATTTTGAAACAATTCTAGTAAAAAAATGTCGCTAGAATCATCAAAATACCGCATATCGGGAGGTACCGTTATATGGGGGCTATACGAAGACGTGGACCTACATGGCAAATGTTCAATACCAATAGTCCAGCAGACATAGTACACATTTGAGTAAAATTTTATCAACCTACTTCATTTCGTTCGGAAGCTGGAGTGAATTCCACAGACGGACAGACGGACGGACATTGATAAATCGACATAGAATTTTATGCTGATCAAGAATATATATACTTTGTGGGGTCTAAAATGTATATTTCGAGGTGTTACAAACGGAATGACAAACATAATATACCCTCCATACTATGGTGGAGGGTATAAAAACGGAATTAAAACACCGTGGAAAATGTGGCTAGGAATATCAAAATATTGATGGGTTATATGGAAATCTTGAACAATATGGACAATGTCTTGACAAGGGTTGTAGAACCCCTTATGAACTGCAAATATCGAATTTGAAACAAATCTGAAATCTGTGTACCTATATCATAGATGCCCAGTAGTGGCTGATTTCAGCAATTTCAACTCACACGTATTCTTACGCTCTTTTGTTTGATCGCCAATCAACCAATAGGAAAGCAGAAATATGAGTGGGAGAGACAAGCTACACAGGCAGAAGTTCTGTGTAATATTAACATTTAATCGTAATCGAGACTGCTGTTAGTGAACACATAAACTGAAAATTATTGCGATATGTCAATGATGTCATTTGAAAAGTATTTTATGATACAAAATGCTTTTGATGATATGCAATGTTTTATATGTTATAAGACATTAAAAAAAATAAGAAATATAATTTAAAAAAACATTTTGAAACTACTTAAATAAATGCATTTATCAAGAGTATTACTAAAACATGTATATTCATTAATTTTACATTTCATAGAAAAAGAAAAAAAATGACGACACCCGCCACACATATGCTTTCGTCGCTATCCCGTTGACGACTAAATAAAATGAATAGAAAAATCTTTTCTTCCAGTGTTATTTCGTCGCTCTCACCAACACTATTACATTGGGCATCTATGACCTATATAGACAATCGAATCGAATTAAAAAAAAAAAAAACAGTAAGGAAAGGTCAAAAGTCAGGCGGGGCCGACTATATGGTGCCCTTCACCACTATGCGTATTTAGTAGATCATAGGGTTGATATTACGTATATGATGAACAATAACCCTAAAATGGGATGAAGATTTATCGGATCGGATAAAACATATAAATGGGATACAGATATATAAAAATCATTTTTCACTAAAATTTGAAGTACTTGCTTTTAGGTTGAATTCCGTCGGAAGTGGAAAATTCAGACCATTTGCGCTGATATTTGATATTTGACAGAGGTTTTTTGAGCTCTATAAGTTATATGGTACCAAATACCATTCTTGTGGGGTGCATATTAGGTATGTGAGACTTAAACTTTTTACCTGCGACCTATACTTTTTTCACAAAAAATATATGGACACACGTACGGACATGCATAAAGTGATTCTATAAAGATGTTCAAATATAACTCTGGATCTATATCGCTTTCTTCTCTATTTTATAAATAAATCCACAAAGACATAATATCTTGACTACTGTGTGTTGAAGGATATAATTATGTGTTTACGTTTTAACTGCTAATTTAACACGATTAAATTGTAAGTTAAAATCTGCCTTAATACACCATTTTTTGGAGAAAGAGTCAAGGGAAGAAATATTTTTTTACGAATTTCATTGTGGGTCTTTGAACAAAATAAATTTGTATACTTCGTATGTGCCATCAATTTTGTCTTATAAAAACAAGGAAAGTTTTTTCTATAATGTGGAAAAGTAGATTTGATTGTAACAGATCAAAGTCTCAGAAAAGTTTTAGGTTATTAGGCCAAACTTTGTAATGCTTTAATATAGCCTTGACCCATTGTAAAGAGAGCCCAATATTTTTCATGTCAAGCATTTTTCCTATACTTATAACTTACCATTGGTAACTCCGTTCCTGGGAAAAGATCCGTGTAAATTCCAACGAATAATGCAACATCCTGTTCCAAAAATTTGGGCAAATTCACATCAACAATGGCACGCAAAACTATTTGAGCCTCTGGCAAGTCAGTATACAAGCGGCGCAGAGATGCCGAGGCCAACAATACGGATTTTACAGCCCGCATACCTGTAAAGAAATGATGCACAGATTAGAAATCATACGGGACAATATAAACTAGTTATATATGTTTGAGCAATGTTAAACTCGAATGTTTTTTCACACTAGCTGTAGGTATAGAAGTAAACAATTTGACACATAAGAGTAAATTTTCTTAGAAGAGTGTTGGCATGTTTGTTTGTGATACCGTAGTATTTTGTTGTTGCAATCTAGTAAGGCATAAGTTTTAGCTCTACTTTTATAATCTTTGGAACTTTACTTGCAACTTTGAATAAAAATTGAGTCGTGTCTCACAGTGCAATAGCAAACTCTATAAATTAGCACTTACCATAATCATAATGTGACTGCGACGATAATTGCTCGGAACAAAGCTTATATGCTAGTACGATTTTCTGGGCCAACTGGCGGGCTTCGTCAAATCCATTTGAGTACAAAGTTATCTCACCGATCATGGCATAATCCGGCACCATCATTGCAACAGTTCTAAAAAGAACTTTCAGGTTATCCGGAAGCTCTGTTCGTCCAGCATAACTAAAATTAAATTAAAACTAAATAGTAAAACATTTGTATAATGTTTGTATTTTTAAGGCGAAATTTTATAAGTACCATAAATCTATGCAAATATACAAAGTTCAAATAGACCGCAATGATAATCCGTTGTATAATTATGCAATAACCACTTTTAGTGTGAAATAAGATTACAAATTAAATGTAATTGGCTAATTAATAAAAACTTTAATCTCACGAAAATTGCATAAAAAATTACATTTTGGACAAAAACGTTGGATTGCTAATAAAGTTATTAATTCAGGAAATTCCAGATCCATCTTTTCCGATTTCGTGAAAGTATGACTACTTAAAACTGCTAACATTGAGCCTATATCAAATATCAATGGTCTACATTGTGATATTTTGCCAATTTATAATCTTCACAATTGTCATTCCATTTATAACCCTTCGAATTTCTAAATGTGTGCGGGACGTACACTCTCATCGAAAACATTATTCTTTACTTTATAATGACAAAATTGAGTTATTTTACCTGTTTTGTTTAAGCCAATATTTATACCATACTAGTAATGCAGAAGGTTCAAGAATGTTTCAAAGCACAAAAAAAAGGCCGAGCTTTGAATACCCTCCACAATTTGGAACTAATTTAGTAGTTTTCTTTAAAAATTCTAATAAAATCTTAAAAATACCAAATGTAGCCGTTATATTAGGGTCCATACAACGACGTGGACCAGCATAGGCAACTTTTGTCATAAGCCATTACAATATTCAAAGAAAGAATTCCGGTGAATAATGTCGCTAAAATCATCAAAATACCGAATATCGGGAAATACCATTATATGGGGGCTATACGAAGACGTGGACCTACATGACCCATTTTCGATACCAAAAGTCCTGCAGACTTTATATATACTTTTGAGTAAAATTGTATCAACCTACTTAATTTCGTTCGGAAGCTAGAGTGATTTCCACAGACGGACGGACACTTAATGTACCCTCCATACTACGGTGGACGGTATAAAAAATGACGATATGAACGATATGACTCCGAGAAGGATTCGATAGAGTCGAACTTTTAATACCCTCCACATTTTTCAAAATAGGGCTCAAATGAAAATTGTCCTATCCTAATTCTTTTTGACTCAATAGACGGACGGACAAACCGACAGACGAACATGGCTAGATCGTCTTAGAATTTTACAAACGGTATTGCGAACTTAATATACCCTCCATACTATGTATCGTGGATAGTATACAAACAAATGTCGTAACATAGATATATGTGAACCGAGTTTCACCGAATGAAAAAATCGATTGAATGTGCAAAAATCCTTCCAATTTGGGCTGACATTTAATATTTGGTGCACAATAAACTTGAAATAAGAACAAGATATATATGAGATCTATACCCAAATCGGAACCGATCGCGATAAAATTTGAATCTGATATTTGGTACAAAATATCATTGTTGTGGAGTTCATATTACTAATGTGAGGGACTTATGCACCAAATCGGTTGAAACATATATATGGGAGCTATAGCTGTATCTGAACCGATTTTAACCAAATTTGGAGTACCTTTTCTATGTAGTACATCTAAGCTGAATTCAGTCGACTGTGCCATTTTCATTTGGTTTGATATTAAGCATTTGGTGCACAATAAACTTGAAATCGGGTGAAGATACATATGGGATATGGGTAATATATAACGGATTTATTTCAGTCTTGTATCTGGCTTCTGGAACAAAATATCATTGTTTTTGAGTTCATATTGCCAACGAGAGGGACTTAAATACAAAATCGGATGAAACACTTATATGGTAGCTATAGCTATATCTGAACCGATTTTCACCAAATTTGAAAGGCTTGCTTTTAGACTTTATTCGATCGCATGTGCTGAAATACGTCCTATTTACAGTAAGATTGATATCAGATGAAGATATTTATGTGAGCAATATCTTAATTCTAAATTTGGACCGATTCTCACCAATTTCAATAGGATAGATTCGAATCACTTCCGTTTGAAAATCTGGCTAAAATCGTAAGAACAGTACATATCTGTTGGTGTCGTTCTATAGGCAATGTCCTACCACAGTAGATAAGCTATTACGATAGAAACTGAACCAAAAATCATCAATGTACCGAATATTGGAAGATAAAATTATATGGGTGCAATAGAAAAAACGAGGGTGCCTTTTTGTCTGCCAACAGATCAAACTCTAAGATGGAAAATGTCGGTCCACGATATCGTATATCCCCCATATAACGATACCTCCCGAAATTCGGTATTTTGTTGATCGTAGCCAAACATTTTCAATGGAATTGTCTGAAAATCCACACAAGGATTTCCTTCTGAGTACTTTAACCCATAGAAGAGAATTGTCTACACGTTTTAGTATAGCACCCATATAATGGTACCCCAAGATATTCGTTATTTTCATGACTTTACTTCATTTTTAGCGGAATTTTTCTTTATAGGGTCTGCATTTGTTGATTTTAGCTACATTTTTTAATGAAATTGTCTGAAAATCATTGTGTTATGTTCCTTATGGTTCTTTATCGTCCTATAAAAAAATTGGAATTATCGGATATTATTTGTTGGAGGTTAGAAAATTGCTCCACATTTTAGCACAACATTCCCAAAGCGATACTCCCCAATATCCGATATTTGAATGATTTTAGCCAAATGTTCAATATACTCATCTTGAAATCGATACCTGAAATTCAGGCATCTTTTAGGCCCTTCACCATACATAGCATGGAGGGTATATTAAGTTCGTCACCCCGTTTGTAACTCATCAAAATAATAGTATAATAATAAAGTCATTTCAAAGCCACTCGTCTGATAGCAGTTAAAATTATTCCAGTGACAGCTGATTACAAGCGTACAAAAACATTTTGATGAGATTTTTAAAGAAAAAAATTTATTTGTGATGAAATTCAAGCGTGATAGTGTGACTTCTTTATATTTGGCTGGAAAACCACAAGTGCTCTATTATTAGAGCACTCCTGAATTTTAGTGTGAATAAATCTTTTGTGTCTCGTACCATCGCTCGTTACCGTGATACTGGTAGTGTAGCCCGACGTCAAGAAAGTGGATGGAAGAAAACAGCAACATCAGCAGAAATGGTTCAAAAAGTAAAGAAGCGACATGATCGAAACCCGCGTCGCAGTAGCCGAAAAATGGCTCGTGAACACATCACAAAATTCCATTCGGCAAATATTGAAAAATGAGCTCGGGGTAAAGTCATTGAAATTCCAAAAAGTGCAAGAACTTACACCACAACAGGAAGAAAATAGACTCAAAAGAGCTAAAGAGTTGATTCGCTTGGCGGAAAGTGGTGAATTGCAGAATTTGGTTTTCTCCGATGAGAAAACATTCGTTGTCCAGTAGTTTGTAAACAAGCAAAATGATCGTGTTTACTTGCCAAAGAGGTCAGCTGAACATGTGCATCTTCGGTTGGCCACCAGAACTCAAGCGCCGGCCATAGTAATGATGTGGCCCGCTATAAAAGCCGATGGTCGCTCTCCGCTCGTATTAATCGACAGTGGCATCAGAATAAATGCCTAATATTATCGAGAAATTATTCTGGATTATTCATATTGGCAGCAGACCTTGGACATTTCAACAAGGCTCGGCACCATCGCACTCAGCAAGTGCCGCCCAAGAATGGTTATAAAATGAGGTTCCTCGCTTCATTTCCAGCACACAATGGCCACGAAAATCTCCGGATACAAAGAAGTTGGACTATTGTGTCTGGAGTATTTTGGAAAACAAGGTTGACACTAAAAAATACCAAAGTGTCGATCACATCAAGCAAGCGCTTCGCCGGGAATGGGCCAAAATTCCGCAGAGCAACATTCAGGTATCGTGTGACGGTTTCATTGGCCGTTTGAAGGCCATAATTCGTGCCAAAGGTGACAAATTCAAACATATCTAAATTTATTCTAAAATTTGATGCAACTTCCGACATTTTTTTGCTTTCATTCAATAAAATTTAAAAAAAAAATGTAAAAATTATGACGTTTGAGACTGTTGCAATTTTATCTTTCTCTGTATATAGACCACATATTAAGATTTTAAAAAAATTTTACCCGCTTTTATTTTTTTTTGAAAATTTCTAAATTCTTTCCAAATGGAGAAGGATATTCAAAATTCGGCCCGGTCGGATTTACTGCTTTTTTAGTATTTTACTTGATTTATTTGACATACGGTCTATCTGAAAGAACTATTTAGATGTAAGGGACAATGAGGGTTGAACTACTTAGCGAAAGAGAGGGTCCGATAGCTTGTATATTTTACCAATTTGAATAAATTCTATTGGCCACTAATTGGGGACAGGAAATGATTTTTTTTTGTAATTTGTATGGATTATTAATTTATTCGGACAAAATCTAAAGACAGATATTCTCAAAAATTATATATCACATTTTATTTTTCTACTGTTAGACAATCATTACTTTTAATATATAATTAAATCAAGGTTTAACATAACATTGTTATGGTTTAGAATCAACTTTGTATAAAAAAATTATAAAATTGAAATAAAATGTTACATAACTTTTGTAACAAGTGGTTGTTATCGCTGGGCCATATAAAAATGCACCAACTAACATGAAACTCCGTAAACTGCATTTACATGACTTGGAAAGTATGTAACACAAACTTTTGAAACTTATCTCCTTTAGTCACTACAAATGGCACATAGGAATATTCCAATTGCTACATACGTATATATGTATGCATGTATCTATGTGAACTCCAATACAGCAGTCAAACTAACGTAAAATTGACAAAACTTTCGGAGAATTCATTACAAAACTCTTTCGACTGAAAAAATACTTTTTGTGTGCAACAGACATTAGACAGCATCATGGAATAGAAATGTACGTACATGTGTACATTCAAATACATGGGTATGCAAATTTCGTTCTCAAATATTTTTCTGTTTTGGTTAAAACTTTTCTTTATAATTTCAAAGCAATATTTGCCCATTGGAAATGATTTTCCAAAAGAAGACA